GGACGAGTGGCCGACTCTGGAACCCAAGCTGTTGCTTCCCGGTCTGGTGGTGAATCCTCCAAAGGCTGGTGAGTGTAAATACGTACATCTTTTCCCTTCTCCCCTTCCCAGTGTAATGTATTATATCATTTGCTTATTCTATGATTTGCTTACTGTATCTGTATTGCCATATACTTGGGATAAAGTCTGTTTACCCTTAAAGGTATTGCGTGTGTGCCTTTTCTTCTCCCCTCGCACGTTTCCTGCACAGAACAGATACCTACCTTCACTGATGTTGGATTCTTCTCTGCAGACTGCGAAAGAGAAAGCCTCCAGTATGGTTGGAAATGAGCGTCCATACTGAGCAGATGCCAGGGTGCGCTGAACACTGGGATGCACAGCCTTTCCTCAGCCATGCTCCAGGGTGATGAGGGCAGATCAACACCCTCCTCGCAGGAGACCGGATGCTCCTTCTCTGAAGATATTGACCAAGGCAAGAAGAAATGCCTAAAGCAACCGGCATGAGGGCCTCTGGAATGAAACAGCCCAGCAGACCGCCCCACAGGGATCAGCCCCAGCAACTAGCCACAGACTCCACTGCGCAGTTCCCACTTTCTGATATGGACGAGCAACAAAGACCACCACACACGAGGACACCCTTCAACATAAATGACACCAAACAAAAAATAAAACAAGCAGACACACATTGGGAGTCCAAGGCAGGAGGACAGCTTTGAGCTCAGGAGTTTGAGACCAGCCTGGGCAACATAGTGAGACCTCATCTCTACTAAAAATAATAACAATAGAATAATCAGCTGGGCATAGTGGCATGCATCTATGCATTCTTAAGAAAATCACAGAAGTTTGTTTTCTCAGCCTCTCTAGCAGTCACAGGTAGCCATGCTGACCTAGCTTTTGGTGAATGAGATGTAAGATGTCTGCCAGAAGCTTCTGGGGGTGGGGGGCAGGGGGGAATTCTCTGATAAAAAGAAAGATGTGGTGTGAAAATTTTGTCTTCACCCACCCCCCTCCTTTGTGGTATGTGAGATGTTCTTCTGTCTGGAGCTGCAGCAGCCTCTTGCATCCATGGGGAGAAAACCTGAAAATGCAGCCATAGACTGATAAAAATAGAATAAAAAGAAAGACCTTAAATGCCTAAGGACATAGCTGAGCAACTAAAAGTTCCAGTAAATCCCCTTCCCCTGACTTGTTCTCATGAACACCATTGGTATTGCTGTTTAATCCACTTCCCATTATGTTTTCTGTCTCTCCAAGCTCAGTGCAAACATCTGAAAGAAATGCCTTTTCCCACAGGCTTCCCCTCCCTTCCCTGGTCACTCCTGGTCATCCATCCAGACTCAACTCATACGTTCCTTTTTGGGAAGCTTTCCTTGATGTCACAGAGAAATTGCTCCCTCTGCCATTTTCGTAAATGATTTAGATTTTTTTTTTTTTTTTGAGATGGAGTTGTGCTCTGTCACCCAGGCTGGAGTGCAGTGGCGCGATCTCGGTTCCCTTCAACCTCTGCCTCCCGGGTTCAAGTGATTCTCCTGCCTCAGCCTCCCAAGTAGCTAGGATTACAGGCATGCTCCACCACACCCTGCTAATTTTTATATTTTTAGTAGAGACAGGGTTTCACCAAGTTGGCCAGGCTAGTCTCAAACTCATGACCTCAGGTGATCTGCCTGCCTTGGCCTTCCAAAGTGCTGGGATTACAGGCATGAGCCAGTGCTGCTGGCCAATAAATGATTTAGAATCTTTAATTGCAACATTTATAAGATTGGTATTACAGTTATTCATTTACTATCTACATAGATAAAAGATGGGTTCCATACAAGTCAACATGCATTATGATTTTGACACCTCATCTCCCATCCTCCTTTGTAATCTCACAGCCCCTTGAATATGTTTAGATAAATCAGACGCCCACTCCAGTCTCAGGCCACGTGCTCTGGAGGGTGACATCACCCCAGGCTTCATGGGGACCATGTGACTCAGGTCTAGCCAATCAGTGCACAGAATCCCTTTGGGGGTTTCCCTCATGTCTGGCCATATAAATGTGTTCATGAATGCACATGTGATTGTGGACACCTCAGAATAGAAGGTTGATGGCCTGGGGAGAGTAACGTCCTGACATAAATCTCGGAGCATTGTCAGGGCCTCACACAATATACACATATTTCAGAAGATATCCAGGTACGTGTGTTTGGTGGGGGAAGTTTATTGACAATCTCATGTCCTCAGGGTTAATGAAGACGGGACTCTTTCTGTCCAGGATGAGGTCCTGTCCGTTATAAGCACATGCCAAGTGGAATTTACCAAGATTCTGATTTCCCCAACCTAAGCACCCGAACATACCTTAAAACATAATTGATCACCTGACATATTTGCAACCACTGCCCTCAGCCAACCACTTTTCCTGGACCTCATGCCCAGCAACATCTCACCATGCCACCTGCATCAGCCTGAGGACAATTACACATCAATAACCTATCAAAGTGCCCAGCTGATGTGAAACTATGCACATTTCCTACTCTGGGGGCACAGGCCGTCATCTGAGGGCCTAAGGAATGTAGAGCCTGTGAGACCTGCCCAGGATCTGTTTGCAATTAGAGTGAATCCCAGTGTGGCAGGGTCCCCAGGACCACTACCAGGTTCAATAATTGATAAAGATAATTCACAGGACTCAGCATAGAATCAACCCCTGACTATGACTTATTATTGAAAACGCAAAGCATAATTAGCAAAAGGAAAATGTGCATGAGATGAAGTCAGGAGGAAGCGAGGTACAAACTTTCAGAGTCCTCCTCCAGTGAAGCCGACGGGAAGCACTCAGTTCCTTCTGTAACGTGTCTCAGCATGTCTGAAACGTTGTCTTTCAGAGAAGCTCATCAGAGAATCAGCACCTGGAGTTTCTATTGAGAGCTGGTCACATTGGCAGTCTCTGCCTGGCACATACCAAAATTCTAGACTTCGCCCCAAAACACAGGAGGTCACCATAAACCACATTGTCTGCATAAATAATCTTGATGCACTGAGCCATTCTTATTAGGAAACAGTGGGAACTCTCTTGAAATCCAAGTTCCAAGATGGCAGCCAAGCGCCAACCTTGTCAACAGGCCGTTCCAAGGACAGCAGTCTAGGGCAGTTATGTTAACTCTCTTCTGCACACCCCAGATGTCTAGGACCTCTGGGGGTAATAATAACTTTCATTTTTGCTAGACTTAAAATTAGAGGAACTACAGGTGGCCCTTATTACCTTCACAAAAGAAGTGTGACTTGGATTTGGCACAAAAGAAGACTAAACTTAGAGATGATAAAAGATAAACCAGGTCCTTCTGAGCCCCTGAATACAGCCGCAGCTGAAACTCAAATGTACCTTGGATGCTTGTGTTGTAAACCAATAAATTCCCTGTCTTCTATCTAGAAATAATGTGATTTTTTTTCACTTGCTAAAGAAAGAGACCTAATTTTAAAATTTTATACAGTTAGAACCACATATTGTTTACCATAGGACAATGTAGTTCTTAGGAAACACCATAAGCTATTGAAAAAAGGTTTGAAGAAAGTAAAGAAGGAAGGCAGGAGTTAAATAATGGCCGGGGTAAGAGGGAGAATGAAATATAGGTTTTGTTTGTTTGTTTTGTTTTGAGATGGAGCCTCACTCTGTCACCTAGAGTGGAGTGCAGTGGCACAATCTCAGCCCACTGCAACCTTCACCTCCTGGGTTCACACAATTCTCCTGCCTCAGCCTCCTGAGTAGATGGGATTACATGCACGTACCACCAATGCCCAGCTAATTTTTGAAATTTTAGTAGAGATGGGGTTTCGCCACGCCTAGGCTGGTCTCGAACTCCTGAGCTCAAGCGATCCACCCACCTTGGCCTCCCAAAGTGCTGGGATTACAGGCATGAGCCATCTAGCCTGGCCAAATGTAGGTTTTAATGAAATAGCCAATCTGAGAAACCAGGAGAGCCTATATAAAGAGCCTGAAAATTTCCTTAGAAATCTTATCCTTCTGCCCCCAAAGGATGCCACCCATGAAATAAAATACACTGTGGATTACACTGCTATCTCTGAACGGAAAACACAACCTTTAAAAGATCATTAGTGTGAAAAGAAAGTAATTGGATTGTTGAATGATAAAAAGAAGTAGGTTTTGATAAGGAAAATTGTTCTAAGTTGACACCCTAGGGAAATCATTTCTAAAAACAGTTAATAATGAGATAGATTTCATGCTTCAAGAGAACCCTTAATAGAGGTTTCATTGGATGAGAGACAGAGAATATTTATAACCTTAATACAAATGATCCATTTGTTAGATACTGGCCCTGGATAGTTTTTTGTTGATTTGTTTGTTTTTTCTATCTTGGCACATGGGAGAAAAAGGAAAGAAGTGCTATAGGCCTGTATTTCAGTGAAACATCTCTTGAAAAAATAATTTGAACAGTGGAGTCATTCATTGCTTTTGAACAAGCCAGTGTTCAGATATGCAGACATGCGAAAGAGATGAATAAAGAATGAAATCCATATTTCCTAAACTTGACAAACATGGACATCTTCTAAAAGGTTCAATAATATTTTGATATACCAGTAACGTTTCTCAAGTTGCTAGTGTGGAAGGAAAATCCTGAATCGGTAGTTATTCACCATCAGTCTGTGGCGGATGTCACACAGTCGCAAGGGAAAGAAGGTAACACCAGTGAGTGAGGGTGGCCTGGTGGACCAGATGGGAAATTTAGTGTTTTAGGGACTACCTATTAATCTCCTTCAGTCCTTTCATAAGAGAGGAATATGAGCCCAACAGTACCATTTTTTTTTTCAGAACACTAGAAGTTCAGATTTTTAATAAAATTTCTAGAATTTATAAATTTTATAACTAATTTGAAAACTTTATCACATTGACAGGTGAAAGAGAATTCTACTGAGGTTCAGCCTGGCTACTGAGAGATTGCTTTAGGACATCTTCAACACTATTGGGATTCTGAATAAAAAATGCCACTTTGGACATTGAAACCATGTAACATTACTCAGTCACAGAGGTCTGTATTATCTCATTGGCTTAAATCAAGAAGGTTTTGATTCTTGTTACATTATGGCTCAGTAAGGGTGGATGGGAGTTTCTGCTCCATGCAGTCATGCAGGAATCCAGGCCTTTTCCATAATGTGGCTACTTCATTTCTTGGGCTTCATCCTCTGTAATCAACTGATGGAAGAAAAAGGAGAAAGAATACGTACTGGATTCAACTTTAGCATCTTAAAGGTGATAAAATTTGATGTCAAACCATTAATAATTTCTATTTTGTCGATTACTGAGCTTAAATATTAAAAAATAACTATTGGACATTTGCAGTTCATCTTTTATCAATTGCTTACTCAGTGTACTTTTTAATTTGTATACAATTTTTAATTTTAATGTGAAATTTATCTTTTTTTTTTAAACATGTAAAATCTACCAGATTGATTGCCTTCAAATTCTCACAAACAACCACATGAATCGGACTCTTTTTACAGATGATGAAAGAGAAACTCAGATCTGTCATGCCAAGATGATGCCACTGAATGGGAAAGAGTGGGGACTTGAAACTAGGACCATAAATCCCATGATATTTTCTGTGTCTCCTTTTCCTTTCTCCCTCTGCAAGATCCATCACAGAAACTAGGTCAGCCTGTAGGAAAGAGAGAGGAAAAGATGTAAAACAAATCCTCCTTCTGCCCCTGAAGTGTGGGAGCTGGGAGAGTGTGTGAAAAGACAGCATGGTGTATTGGGACTGCCTTTGATCAGGGATCGCATGACTTTCATTCTTTGTTCTCGCTCTGGGACTGGCACTTTACACTTATAACCCCTCTGGCCTCAGTTTCCTCATAATCAATACAGAGGTGATGGCAGCTTCCTAGCCTGCTCTACTAGAATGCTACCAAATGGGGGACGTCAACGTAAAAATGCCGATAGTGCCAAATATGGTGTTATGTTAACAGTTATGAGGACTAGGAGTTGAGGGACAAAAGGTCTACTATTACTGTTTTAGTAAATAATTGACATGAAGTTTTGATTATTTACACGAAAACATTTTGTAAACTATATAGAGTTTAAAGCAAGTTAATAAATTACATTTGAATGATTACTTGGACTAGAGTTTAAAACAAGTTAATAAATTATGTTTGAATGATTACTTGGACTAGAGTTTAAAACAAGTTAATAAATTATGTTTGAATGATTACTTGGACTGAGTGATCATTCTAAGTGTTCAGTCTATTGTTTCAAGTGGATTTGCAAAGTATAGGGACACTTTAAAAACAACAGATTCGTCTTTATAGGCAAAATACCTCCAAATAATTGAAGAGTATGTGATTTCTCAGCTCTACAAGATCATCATCAAAATAGTCTCACTCCAACAAAACAAAACTCCCTCAGTTCCTAAGGCAGTGGCCCTCAGTGAGGGGGCAGCTTTCCTCCCAGGAGAATCGCGGATGGTCTGGAGTCGTTTTGGTTGTCATAACTGGGAAGGGAGTGCTTCTTACATCTAGTGGATATTGGGCAGGGATAACTGTAAACATTTTACGATGCACAGAACAACCACCCACGAGAAAGAATTATGCCGCCCAAAATGTCAATAGTGTTGAGATTGAAAAACTCTACTACATGCCAAATGGCAAGACCCAGAACCTGTGTATTTTGAAAGCTGATATATCTGAATTTCCTTTTTTTTTTTTTTAACTTTACTACTTTTATTTTTGCTCTGAGTCATACATTTTTTTGTTTTGTACTTTAAGTTCTGAGATACGTATGCAGAACGTGCAGGTTTGTTACATAGGTATCCATTTGCCATGATGGTTTGCTGCACCTATCAACCTGTCATCTAGGTTTTAAGCCCTGCATGCATTAGGTATTTGTCCTAATGCTCTCCCTCCTCTTGCTCCCCACCCCTACAGGCCCCGGTGTGTGATGTTTCCCTCCCTGTATCCATGTGTTTTCATCGTTCAACTCCCACTTATGAGTGAGAACATGAAAACATATTCCCTTAACACCAGGAGATACCCCTTCTAAAGAGGAAAATGGGGCTGCTGTCACCTGGAGCTTCTGTTATCCAGTGATCCGCCTACCCTATTCCCCAGTGGTTAAGATTATTGAGACTCTGATTATTTCAAAGAACAAGAGAAATTCAATTACTATCAAGTCATTTCATGGAGCTCTATAAAATAGCCCACTGAAAATGACCAAAGTGAAATGCACAAATCTGAATGCTGCTGATTCAGTTTCAGAAAGGGCAATGATGCGTCTGTGTTTCCAAACCACAGTCTCTCTTTGGGAAACCTATTTGGTCTTTAAGGCTCAGGAATCCCCGAATTGATACCCGTTTCCATCAAGACATTATTGATTATCTCACAAGAAGAGTAAACACTCATGCCTGTATCAGATAATTGTTGGGAATAGGCCCCCAAAATCTGGCCATAAACTAGCCCCAAAACTGGCCATAAACAAAATCTCTGCAGTACTGTGACATGCTCATGATGGTGATAATGCCCACACTGGAAGGCTATGGGTTTACCAAATGAGGGCAAGGAACACCTGGCCCACCCATGACAGAAAACCGCTTAAAGGCGTTCTTAAACCACAAACAATAGCATGAGCGATCTGTGCCTTAAGGACATGCTCCTGCTGCAGTTAACTAGCCCAACCCATCCCTTTATTTTTGTCCATCCCATAAGGGATACTGTTAGTTAATCTAGTATCTATAGAAACAATGCTAATGACTGGCTTGCTGTTAATAAACATGTGGGTAAATCTCTGATCGAGGCTCTCAGCTCTGAAGGCTGTGAGACCCTTGATTTTCCCCTTCACACCTCTATATTTCTGTGTGTCTTTAATTCCTCTAGTGCCACTGGGTTAAGGTCTCCCTGACCGAACTGGTCTCAGCAGATAATAAAATCTGACCAAAAGAAAATACCCTAGAAGTTGTTTTCTGTCTTTTACAAAGATTTAGTAAATCATAAGCATTCAGAAAATGTTGGCTGCATTAATGAGTGAAGATTTCCCTATATCTATTCTCGAATACATCAAATCTTTCCACTTACTAAAAAAATCAGATATAGTTTAGAGATAAAATCCTATAATTTGTAAATGTTAGCAGTAGTATATTGTGTGGTTTAAACAGAACTCTCTTGCTTGTCAAGGGAAGCCAGAGTGAAACCTCAGAATTAAAGATTGTATGTTTTTTTGTCTTTGTTTTTCTGTTTTTCCAAAACAAAGGGCTATCACATTCAGCATCTGTAACTTCAGAAAACAAGATCCACTCTTGTTAATTTTAGCAGGAAAGGGCATATTAAGAAATGCTAGGAAGCTCATGCATTGTCAAAGCAAAGGTAGCAGAGGTTTGCTTGAGATTCCAGAAACAACTCCAAGAGACACTTCAACAGTCAGCCAGCATGGTAAAGAGAAATGAAAAGTGGGAAGACCAGGAAACCAGAGCAGCCACAGGATGGAGGGAGCCAGGGAGGTGAGGGACTGTGGAATGGGAGGGGCCATTAGTGGGAGGGGTCATATGTGGGAGGAGCCCTGAAGGAGAGGGACTATGAAATGGGAGGAGACATGGATGGGAGGAGCCATTGATGGGAGGAGCCTCAAAGTAGGAGAAGTCATAATGGCTCTAACACTTGAGAAGATGCCACCACCACTTTTGATCCAGGAATCATGCTACCACATTTGTGACTGTCTTTCACAATGTTGATGCCCTGTGTCACAGTTATTTCCTAATGTAGCTTCCATATCAAAATCTCACGCAAAAGCGTCTAATTGGCAGAGCTCAAGTCTCATTCTTTCCCAACTGTGACAATGAGGTTAAAAAATACAGCTTTTGGTGTTTGTATTCTATGTTTGGAAGCTGGATTCACAATTAAAGAGGGCTATCAAAATATAATGAGTGTATGTTAGGGCTTGCTGTATGTCCACAATCTCTGAATACCTTTCTTCCTGGACATACAGGTAAATTTCCTGGCCTCTATTGCAGCGAGCAGAGTATGTGATGTATGATTTGGTCCCTGCTAATGAACTGTCTGGCACATTCCTATGTGGCAGTTTCAGGTGTGTCCCTAATATCCTCCCATGTAATCTTTCTAATAGTCTTTCTTCATCTGTTGGCCCAAGGCGCAAGGAAGCCAGACAATGCTTTTGAGATCTTAGGGGCTTCCCACAGTCACTGGAAGGGAGAAGCCTGGATCCCTAAGTGACTGTGGAGCAGAGCCTCTCATATTCCAGCAGCCAACTGGACTCTAAAGACACTTTAGCGGGCTGACTGAAAGTACAAGTTTATCTGTTACTATTGCTAGGTTTGCTTTAATTGATACAGAGTACAATGATTAAAAATAGTAATACCCAAAGCTATAACCTCCAAAGAAGTAGGACAAATTCTGACATCATTGAAAGGGTAATCTCAAGTCAAATTATTAAGGTTTCATGAAGTCTTTGGGGTTTATTTTCTGCCAACATACCCTGTAACATTTGTGATAATGTTATTACTGAAGTAGTGAGAATCATCAGAAACACAGATTACAAGATCTAATAGAACAAAATGTTAACCATTTTGAATAATCAGTCTGTCTATGAAAGCTTTGGAAAACTTCCATCAAGAAAATGCAGCTAACTCCTTTTTATACATGCTCTGCTATGGATGATATTGTTTGCATATTTAAAATCTTATGATTGAAAAGTTACTTTTTTTCTTCTTTATGGGCCATTTACTCTACTGTATTATATCAAGAAGATGCAAAACAAATGTCTAAGATGTAATTTACTCTAATATGTTACTTAATGCAAGTATGTATGAACTGTAAATCGTTTTCTTATAAGTGCAGTAGGTGTGAACTCAAAAATATTTTTGCCTTAAGGTCCAGAAAATGTTCTTAGAATATTTTGATAATTGACCTTTTCCTGTGATTGACATTTCTAGTTCAATTGTCCTATTGTTCTCTAGATAGCAATCACTCACCACTATTTTTGCACTGAGGAAATGTCACAAGAGGTTGCAGAAAATATTAAATGTCACCCATGCAGATGATAATGATGTTTTCTAGAATGGGAGCCTCTGCCACCAGAAATAAATAAATAAATAAATAAATAACTGTTAACGCTGCTTGGCCCTTAATTTTGATTCCCTGACCCTTCTGTATTTGTTGTAAGAGTGATAAAAGGTGACATTCTGGAATTATTTTAATTGATATCACAATTAACATATTCTTCGGGTAAAGAGCCAAGTTCTGGACATAGATGGCTTGGGTATGATTTGAGGCTTCAACTCTTGCTTATTTCATAAACATTGTCTATGGATAAATGAATCATAAACCTGGCCCACATGTGAGGAAATACAACTTAGATCTCATCTCTCTGTGGAAGTTGTGGGAAAACAAAAAGTTGTTGTCCTTAATCTAACACAGAGTGGGAAGGCTAAATGTCACCCCTGACTTACTCTCTCTCCGCAGGGCCCTTATTCAGTGACCAACCTGAACAACTGCACAGAGCAGCCCCGCCCATAGGAGTCCCAAAAGAGAACATTTGATCTTCTTCTCAACATAGTTATTCTTTGCGAGTGATTTCTCCCTGACTGACCAGGAAAGAGAACTGCATATCTTAATTTTCTGATTCCAAGTGTAGCAAGGTTACAAGATATTTGTTAATATTATAGTTTCACATTCAAATAATTCTTCTGTGCTCTAGTAAATCATTTCAGAAAATGGCATCTAATGAAGCTAGTAAAAGTCCCCAGTTACTGGCCACTCCATTTTATCTTCCCCCATGAGTTAACACCAATTTTGACTTTAAATCACTCAGGTGAGATGAACAAGCAAAGCCTACTTAGATGAAACTATCCAATAGATACTATTTTATGGCTGTACTTAAGGGCAGGAGTATAAATCCAACACTAACAGATGCAGTGCCTATAAGTGGTCTGGGTCTCTGCTCCCTCATTCTGAATTACTGGGAGTTTTATAGTTCTTAATATTCTTTCTTCACCTAAAATAGAAGCCATGTCCTTTCACCAGTAGGTGACAAACACATTAGATTTCTGAGGAAGGCACAGTGCAAAATCATAATTGCCTTAGAATGAATGCCTTTGGATGACAGTATTCTACCAGTTGCAATAGAAAAACACAGATGATTCCACCCAGCCTTTAAAGACCCCCTGTATATACCAACAGAAGCCACATCAATCAAAGGTAAGCCAGTGTATCCCAAAGCCATCAAAAACCTCCCCTGCTTCAGCACACTCTGGGAGAAAACTTCATCCCCGAAGGATACTCACCAATCCGGGACTGTCTTAAAACTTAAGACTCCTTTGCTTCCATAAAACTCTTTTAAAACCCCTGGGAGTCTCTGCCAAAACGAAAAGCGTGCTAAGTCCCTTATTGGTAAGATCTGAATAAACAACCTTTGATGACCTTTACAGGTGGTCCTCATTCTGTGGGTGGATTTTACAGAATAAAACATCACAAAAGCCAAAGAAAGGTTGGTGGGGTAGGCAGAGTAACTAGGAAATTTTCTTCAGATCCCAAAGGAGAAAAAAAAATGCCTAAATGTGCAACGTTATTTTCAAAAGAGATTTTTGTTCTTAAAGAGTTTCAACTCATCAGCTTCAGCCCTAAAGCTTCAATATAACAAACGGTGTTTATTAGGTAAAGATGCCTCATGTATCTCTCCTGATAAAAGCAGCGACTCTTTCATTGCATTTCATCTAGCTGAGTTGCCTAGAGATTAAATGCCTTTTAATAATATCTGCTGAACTTTTTCTATACCCCTGTGCAGCCTTAGCCACAAAATCCATTTAGCCATTATTCACTGCCAGACTAGAAAGAGGTTTCCCTGAGAAGAAGAAATTCCACCTGTGGGCCACAGCCTGGAAGAACCACAGGACCACAGCTCCCGGCCCTTAGAGTTTCTTGCCTGCCCTTTCTGGCAGCCTGCCCTACAGATTTCAGATTTGCTTAGCTAGTCCCTAGCACGTGAGCCAATTCCTTGGAACCCTTCTCTCACTTTCTCTTTCTTTCTCTCTCTCTTTTTCCCTGCCCCATGTCCTACTGCTTCTGTTTCTCTGGAGAACCTTGACTATCTACTGATAGGTCTGTTAGTTAGAGTCACTAGGCTCTGATCAAATTCTCATTCTGCTAAAATCTTCCTTCAAATTTATTAAGTCATCAATTCCTGCTTAGACAGGTATATGGGGAATAAAATGGGTAGGTGCCTGCTGAGCAAGGTGTCAGATCTCTGGCAACAAAATGTGATTTACTCATGGGTAGTAAGAAGAATTTACCAACAACAGTATAGGTTTGAAAAGGAAAGGGTTTTTTTAAACTTTTATTTTAAGTTCTGGAGTACAAGTGCAGGTTTGTTACACAGGTTCGTTAGTTTGCTAAGGATAATGGCCTCCAGCTCCATCCATGTCCCTGCAAAGTACATGCTATCTTTCTTTTTTATGACTACATAGTATTCCATGGTGGCAATTCCTCAAAGACCTAAAGACAGAAATACCATTTGATTCAGCAATCCCATTACTGGGTGTATACTCAAAGGAATATAAATAATTCAATTATAAACATACATGCGTGCATATGTTCATTGCAGTACTATTCACAATAGCAAAGACATGGAATCAATCTAAATGCCCATCAATGATAGACTGAATGAAAAGGAAAGTTTTATTAGAAAGAACACTGCAGAGGAGCTCAGCGGGAGCCTCAGCAAGAGAAAACTGAGCCCACCACAGTGGATGTTCCTTAGGGGTGTGTATGGACCTTAAAGCAGGAGCTTAAGGGTAAGTTTGGACCATATTAGCCATGTAGGTCATGATAGCTGATTACATTTGTAGACATTCTGGTGCCTTGATGTCATCAAGGGTTGCAAAATGAGGTCTGACGCATATGCATTGTGGAGCGTGTAGAAATTCTAGTTACTTATACATTTTGGGGAAAGAAGGCTGGTACCAGATGCCTGCTTTGGATAATAGGGAAGTCTAATTACTTCTGAATTCCACAGGTAAGGAGCTTTGCCTCTAGAAGTCCTGCTTGATGAGTACCAGGTGATCTTTGCTCTCCTCAGTGTCTGCTCCTGGTCAAAACTCTCACTCTGAAACAAACAAGCAAACTAACTAATGAAAATCCTGAAAACTGGGCCGCTAGAGCTTTTCCAAAGTTCTCAATTCGTTAAAATTCTTCCATCAAAATTACAAACCTCATGCATTGCGATAAAAATGTAATGTATATAAATGAATTATTGTGGGGTGATGTGTATGTGATAAAATTATAAACTCACTCTTCCTTCTCAAGCAATGTATTTCATTGATTAGAGGATGCTCTCTGTGTGTGTGTGTGTGTGTGTGTGTATGTGTTTCTTTCAGGAAAGAATAACCTACTATTGGAAGTATGAAAATTGATTTTAAAGATTCCCACTGCCCTTCATAATTCATCATTGTATCTAACAAGGTGAAATTTATGTTACGTAACTGAATTTGGTGGTGCAATTTGGCAGTTAATTATTGTAAAATTGTGTTTGTAACCAACAGTGACTGTAATCAGATGTCAAGTTTAATTGTGTCTTGAAACCTAAATGGCATGTCCTGGGAGATACCACGTCCTAGACAAGGCGCCTCAACGTCAGCCAAATACCTCCTCACATGGGCCGTGTTTTTGTTCACAAGATTGGGAAAACATATGCTATGGCTGATATCATCAATATGTCATGAAAACATATGCTATGGTTGATATCATCAATATGTAATCAACACAAAATAAAGCAGCTCCCAAAAGAAAGGCGTGACCCGGCCAGACCATAACATTCCAACGTGGAAATGAAAGACATCATTTTTTGCCTGCCATGAAAAGAAACTAGATCTACAGAAAGAGGGGGAAATGCAGGGGGGCAGAGAAAAATAAATCTCAGAAAAATAAAGCCTCAGAGCTTTTTGTTTCCCTGTTACGGAGACCCCATTCCAACTTAACTTTTGTATTCCATGGGACATCTTGCTTCTCATAATAAATTGTCCTTTTAAGCTCTGCTGACTTGAGAAGATCTCTTTTATATATAGCTGTAGGATGCTAACTTAAGTAAGTATCTGGTGGGTACTAGACTGGTAGAATGGCTGAAACCAGAGGAACCTAGTCAATTACAGTAAAAGCTCAGAAGTCATAAATGTGTCATACAGCAGTAGAATTTATCTCTGAAAATTGGAAAGTTTATATATATTTCTCCCATGGGTTCTTATTTTAACACACTTGTTACTTATAAAATGTTAGACATAGAAGGACTTTTTAAGATTATCTAGTTCTGTAAATCACACTATCCAGAATAACTGTTGCTTTGGGGGACATTTGACCCATTTTGGAGGGGAAGATGGCCTCGCATCCAATCAGCCTTTCGTTTGCTGGGTGGTCCCCACTGTGTGACTCCTGATAAGGGCTGAGTTTTAGATCCGTTTGAAGATGTCAAATGAGACCACAAATCTTCTTCCTGCTTTCTGCCAGCTCAGGCACGGGAAGGAGAGCTAGACGTGGCCCACTGAATTCCTGCCCTGACATTTGCATCCAGCAGCAGGGACACGAGGACAGAACCAGTGGCAGCTCCAGCATCCAGTTCACAACCACATTGCTCCTCCGCTACGCGGTCTGCCCAGCCTCCAGCAATTCCAGCTGGCTTCCTCTTGGCTGTTAGTGGATTTGGGGAACTACCCATTAATTTTCAATAAATTCATTTCTGTTTAAGTCACATCAATACCGTTACTGTTATTTGCAGCCAAGTTCCCTGGCTGATCCCATAACAGAGGATCATTCAGCTCCCCTGTGTCCTGCCGGAGACAGAGCTCATTTTCCAGGGTAATCCAGTTCTCTTTGGGGTAGCTCTTGGTATGAAGTCTTTTCCCTAATGCTTCTACCCATTGATTATAGTTTCGACTTTTGCAAACATAAATCTATGCCTTCATTCTTTGGTTACAAGTAGCATAGGTTTCTTGGAGGTTACATAAATTAGGATATTTATATGCATGAAAGAGAGAAGAAACAAGAAAAAAAAAGAGAAAGAGAGAAAGGACAAAGGAAATAATAAAGAAAGGCCATCTAAATGGTTCAAATGTGCTGTCCACACTGAACAGCACATCGAATGCCCCAGAATGAACCCAGAACGCACGTAATGATCCTGTTGTCCCCTCTGTCTGGGTCCCGTGCTGTCTCTGAGTCTGAGCGTCACATCACCCTGGACATGATCCTCGTATTTTCACACTACCTGGCCCTGGAGTGCCAGGCACCCTCTCCCTTTGGAGATCAGCTGAAGATCAGCCATTCAGCCTCAACACTGGAGGGAAATTGGCTGCCCTGGACATGCGGAGAGATTCCCTTGTCCTGTACTTTCAAGTATCTTAAGGGATGCCCAAGGGTAATTCTGACTGCTTTTGCCATCAAGACTGAAGCAGTATTTTTCTCTGTATAGCCACGTGACTTACTTACTCCCCGTCTCTCTCAAGTCTTTCCTCCAGTGGCAGCTTATCCAAAAGGGTCTGTGGACCATTACGTTGAAACAGTAAACCCTGTTCCTGACCACTGACTTCAAATGTACATTCCCTGGATACCTTTCTCAATACCCTGTTTTTCTGTCTGCCCTGCCATATTCATTTACCTGTGACTTAAGAAAAAAATTTTTTCCCTCTACAAAAATATAAGCTTCTCGGCCAGGCACGGTGGCTCACGCCTGTAATTCTAGCACTTTGGGAGGCCGAGGTGGGTCGATCACGAGGTCAGGAGATCGAGACCATCCTGGTCAACATGGTGAAACCCCGTCTCTACTACAAATCCACAAATTAGCTGGGCATGGCGGTGCGTGCCTGTAATCCCAGCTGCTCAGGAAGCTGAGGCAGGAAAATCGCTTGAACCCAAGAGGCAGAGGCTGCAGTGACCTCAGATCGCACCACTGCACTCCAGCCTGGCGACACAGCGAGACTCCATCTCAAAAAAAAAAAATATATATATATATATAAAAAATATATAACATATATATAATATATATATTCATTTATATTTATTTATTTATTTATATGTATATAAGCTCCTCAAGGACAGAAGACACATCATCCTATGTATTCTGTAACCTCTGCAGGTACAGTGATGGCTGTCACAGAGCAAGTGTACAATAAACACTAAGAGAGCACTTGCGTAGATACCTATTATATAAACTCAACTATCAGGCAGCCTGGGAGAGCCATCCTCTCACTCTCTCTCTTGCTTTCCGAAAAGGCTCCCATACAATATTTATTTCTTCCTGTGAATTCTCTGACCTTTCCCACTGGATTCATTGGTGAAAACCTTTAACACAGACTGAACAAATTGCAGCTTCCATGAGAAGGGAGAGCTGTGTGTATGTGGGTGGGGAGGGGGTCAGCTAGAAAGTGGTTGCTGGGAAACCACAAACAATGTTCCTCTGAGTTGCAATGATAACAGAGATGTCAGATTGACTTTACAGTTAGAGCTGCATCTTAGAGAACCTAAAAGAAGCTGGGCACAAATGTCTAGGCTGACTTTGGAGAGTTCTACTGATGTAAACATATCCGTTGGCTGAAGTCCCAAGTCCCTCACGGGCTATGTGATAATGAACAATTTTGTCATAGCTCCGTGCCTCTGTTTCTATATCTCTAAAATAGGAATGAGGGAAGTTTCTATAATACCTCAGGGGGCTAATGTGAGAATTAGATTCATTCATGTATTCACAGATGTCTATTTAGAAACTCCTATGTTACAAACATTGCTTTACTTCTCAGAGATACAGTGGAGAATAAAATAGGAAGAACCTCTAACCTTGAAGTACATAAATGCATAAATAACAAGGGTGTTTCAGGCATTGAGAGGTGCTGTGTAGAAGACAAATAGGGACCAGTTTAAATCCATGTGCATTTGTTAACTGTGGCCGTGATGGTTCTGCAACCAACCACAGCACCTCAGAGCCCAAGCAGTCATCATTTGTGGCTCAGACATTTGTGGATTACCTGGGGACTGGCTGATCTATGCCGGACCTGGCTGGGGTACCTTGTCTTCAAGGGGTTGTGCTCTGTATGGCTGTCACTTTTGTCTTAGAACCGGTCAGACCAGGCGTGTTGTTGCACAGGAATGGCAGAGGTTTGTGACAGACAGTGGAACATTCAAGGCCCTTTAAACCTACCTTAGCACAGGCACTCTGCCCCTTGCACCTCATTCTATTGCAACCCAGGTGACATGACTGAACAGAAATCCAAGGGATGAATAAATTCATTCTGCTGTTTTGTTGGCAGGAATTTGAAGCTCACTGATCCCAGAGGTCCTAAATTATGTTTATATCAATAGAACTCTCCAAAGACAGCCTAGACATTTGTGCCCAGCTTCTTTTAGGTTCTCTAAGATGCAGCGCTAACTGTAAAGTCAATCTGACATCTCTGTTATCATCGCAACTCAGGGGAACACTGGAACATGGTATACACACAAGGAAGGCTTAAGGAATTAGCACCAATGATGCAATTGATCCCAGAGGCCCTACTGAATAGTCACGCTCAGCAAAAGCCTGAATCGCTGGAAGAATCTGAGCTAGAAAATATCGGAGTTACAGATGTCCAGGTTGAGAAAAATCCTCCAGCCAAGGAACTCATTTAGGGAAAAGGTTAGACAGTAAATGGAATATAAAACGGCTGGCGAGTCCCAAGTGTCTTGAGGCAGGGAAAGGCCAGGGATTGGTGGCAGCTGGCTGGACCCTGGGCTGGGGGTCCGGGGCCATGCTACTTTTGCATGCTTAGAGGACATGTAAACCACAGACATGGAACCTGGTCCCGAAAGGTTCATTTTTCCCTGCTTGCTCTACTGAAAATAATGACAGCGTATAAAATATCATGTGTATATTATATAGAGACCTCTTGAAAAGGTAATAAATTCTTGGGATTTGGGGCACAAAGGTGGGAAGCAAATCTTATTTTATTGCTCAGTGATCCATCCTGCTCAGCCTGTCTCCCTCCTTAATTTCTGACAATCCACAGGCTCTTCCCAAGTCTCTGCCTGGGGCTGTGTTTGGAAAAACAAGGTCACATGAACCACTGGGTAAAAGGGAGGCAGGGATTTCTCAGC